AGAGAGAGAGAGAGAGAGAGAGAGAGAGAGAGAGAGAGAGAGAGAGAGAGAGAGAGAGAGAGAGAGGGAGAGGGAGAGGGAGAGAGAGATTGATTGATTGAGATTTGTCCCAATAGACTGCATGGTCCAAAGCTTCAATGAAAAGTGCTTCTTTAAAACTCTCCACATTGTGGTGGAAACTGATGCTGAATTGCAGGACAGAATGGTCCTTTCCCAAGAGCTAAGAAGCAAGTCAGCCTTGAGTCCTGGGTATACAGAATGATCCTCCCTAGACTTCACAGGATTTACACCATAGGAGCCATGGTGGCACAGTGGTTGGAAAGCAGTATTGCAAACTAACTCTGCTCACAGTTAGGAATTCAATCCTGATAGGACTCAAGGTTGCCTCAGCTTTCATCCTTCTGAAGTTGGTAAAATGAGGACCCAGATTATTGGGAGCAATATTCTGACACTGTTAACCACTCAGAGAGTGCTGTAAAACACTATGGGAAGTATATAAGTGCTATTGCAATTGCTATAGCTATCCAAATTTTGCTTCAGTCTGGCAAGATTCCTTTCTATGAGGAAGCAGCAACAAAGAAACTACTCTGAGCAATTCATCATGTTGTTCTTGGTTCCTTGCACCCGATAATCTCCTACTTGACATGGGACCAATAGCTACTTTTCTAGTGGCAAAAGGATAGTGAATTAGTAGTGAATTTCTTCATGGGATTTTCTAGACTCGGAAATAAAAAGAAAAAAACACACACACCGAATCCTGCATTGTTTTCAAGAACACCATATAAGCCCACTAAGGCAGCAGGAGCTGAACTTGACCTGAAGGAATTTCATTTTTTTAATATCATTTTCTTATCTCTTCTATCAACATTTCCGGGTTATGTTTATTCAGAAATATAATTCACCAGCAGCCGTCATTTTTTATTAACTATAATAATTTAACACCAGGTTTTGTTCCTTCTTTGTAGCCTGTCTGGGACATCTTATTGGTCATGGCTAGTGCTTACCATTGGATGGCAGCATATACTCGCTTTTAAGATTCGGTGCCACCTTTATTCTCCGCCTTGGCACAAACAAGTTAGGAAGAAATGGCAGCCACAGAGAATAAGAATATGTCTGTCTGTCTATCTCTCTAGCTCAGGAAGAGAATACAGGGAGTTGCTGTCAATTGATTTTGAGGTTACAACTTGCTGTTTTCCTGTCAAGCTCCAAGGATGGGTTGAGTGAAAATGTGATGTCTCCTTGGATGCATTGGGCCCAAATGCTGCAGAGATGGATCTATGCTGACTGTATATCAAGTAATCAGTATGCCAAAGCAAAATCTATATCTGAGCAAAAGATATCCCATTGCACTCAGAAGAGAACGGGCAGAAGATTCTAGCTGTAGCAAGCTTCCTGCAAGATTTGTAGGGGCGGGAGGGCCCTAGCAATTGCTCCCTCTTCAAGAATCTGTCAAAATGTTGCAAAGAAATTGCTGGCATATTAATAAGGTTCTCTTTTAATTGACCCTTGTTAATGCTAATTTGAAAGGCACGTGGGTGAGAAAACCTATTTTCTCCTGGTAAGCTCAGTTTACTCATGACAAAAATAGGTCCAGCATGGTAGAGGGCTTTATAATTGCCATCAATTTCATCATCTCCAGGTTAGGACTGGATCAGGACCATAATAAGGCTTGAGGGCCACCAGGTTGTAGTAAACAGATTCATGGGTTCTGCTTGCAATCCTTTACTCAGCCATGCAGAAAGAGACAGAGATGTTATATTCAACAAAAATATGATTCTTAAAAATGCATTGTTAAACAGTAATCATATGTATTTTCTCTGAGGCAAAAGACAAATACCATACCTTATCCAGGGTATAACAAACAACAGCCAAGACAAATATACATCCTTTTACAGTGCTTAGAAATAAACAAACTGAATCTCTTTGTTTCTCTTTTTCTCACATACAGGCTTTACTGCTTGAGTGAATCAGGAAATCCNCCGGTATGCCCAAATATGGGAGGAAGATCACCAGTATATTGATCCTGACTGTCTCAATATTGATTTAGCGTTCCATCCTTCTGAGGTTGGCAAAATTAGGACCCAGATTGTTGGGGACAATATACTGACTGAAAACCTCTTAGAGAGTGCTGTAAAGTACTACGATGTTACTCTAAAAATAAGACCCGGTCTTATTTCCTTTCGGGCCCCAAAATAAGCACCAGGTCTTATTTATGTGAGATGTCTTACCCGTTTACCTTAGGACCACTGTAGTCAGGCCCCTCACACCCTGACATCTATTGTGCCACTGCCTGACCTGTGGTGCCACCACTTGTGATAGGATGCAGTATGGCACATTGCACTTGTGGCAGGATGCTGCGTGGCATGTCATGCCATTGTAAATGCAAGCGGCAGCACTGGTGCGATGCTTCACATGGCCTCCTGTTGAGAGCAGTGGCACTGGTGCAACATGGCATGTGGCGTCCTGTCACAAGTAGCAGCACTGGTGTGACAAACCACACAGCCTCCTACCAGGAGGGTCAGCCCTGGTGCATGCACCATGTGGTGTCTAGCCACAAGTGGCAGCAGAAGATATCAGGCAGTGGCATGACGGGTGTCAGAGCATGGGAGGCCTAGCTGCAGAGACTCTAAGGTAAGTGGGTGCAGTGTGTGGGGTGGCATCTCCACCCCCACCCCTGCCTAGCTTGATTTTTACTCATGCACCTTGTTCCACCTTGTACAAGCAGATGGTGGGACGGAGTGTCTGCTTATTTTGGTGGTAGGGTTTATATTAGGAGCACATGTAAAATAGCAATAGCAATAGCAGTTAGACTTATATACCACTTCATAGGGCTTTCAGCCCTCTCTAAGCAGTTTACAGAATCAGCATATTGCCCCCAACAGTCTGGGTCCTCATTTTACCCACCTCGGAAGGATGGAAGGCTGAGTCAATCTTGAGCCGGTGAGATTTGAACCGCCAAACTGCAGATAACAGTCAGCTGAAATGGCCTGCAGTACTGCACCCTAACCACTGCGCCACCTTGGCTCTTCAGAAGTGTGGGCTGAAAAAGAACTTCAGCCAAGATCTGGAGAACTAATTGGAGGGTCTGGGCTGGGCATGGACCCTTCCTGGGGGCGGGGGG